AGGGCCACAGGAAATGTTCGTGGTGGGTGGCTGGCTCACGTAGGTCTCTGGTTCCCCTCCATGGTGTCTAGTCAGAGAAGCCTGAGCCACACTCTAAACCATTAGCTGGGGACACGTCGTGCTCAGAAATCAGAGAGAGAGCAGAGCAGTCAAGCAGCCCAAAGCCATTCAGAGCAGTTCTTAAAGGTTATGGTCTGAAAAGGTCTGAGGATGACTGTTTTCTGCAGGTTGGGAGGCATGGGACCTGGGACCAGAATGAGGTGATCTGACCACAGATGATAGGAGACACTGAAACCAAAAGGTAGATAAAAACTGGAAGTTCCAGCAAGTTTGGGTCTGTGACATTAGGTGTTGGGGAGCCTTAGACACTGTAGCAAAGATGATGAGTAGTGGACATTAAAGGTGAGCTGCAGAGTGAAGGAGGAGGTGACTGAAAGCACAAACTCCCCTTGGCCTTGCAGCAGCCACCTTACAGGGAACTAGTTGAGGTTGGCACATAGCATAGCTTTTAAAGTCCTTCAAGAGCAGGACTTCAGAATAAGTTACACAAAGTAAATGGTCATAAATGTGCATCTTCTTCTTAGAAGAAATAAAGATCATGGCACAGGAGGGGGAGAGGTGAGAGTAAATGCTGTATGTTGTGAGGTGAGCATTTTAAGTTATTCTTCTCTCCTGCAGAATTTTTTACTGAAAAAATGTCCCTTCTCTTTACAAATGAACCAAGTAGTTTATTGCAACCACTTCTTCTGAGCTAGAGATATGACTTTTGTGGAGTTATTCTCATTGAGGTATGATTTGATCATTACCAGCAAGCTGAAAAAAGCATGCTCTTAGATAAATGTGTTTTCAAGAGGATGATGCAAATGAAGTTACCATAAGAAATGAAAATAATACCCCGCTCCTGTCTTCCTCTACTCCAAAGTATATATGTCAGAGAAAGGAAAGTTACACAGCTCACAAATGCTGTTTCTTCTCCCTTCCTCCTCCATCAGTGTTCTCTGGTCTTTGAAAGAGGCTGGATCCACTGACAAACAGATTTATGTGACAAAATGGTTTATGTCTTCCTGGCTGCAACTGCAGATTTGCCTCTGAATGGACAAGCTGCCATCGCAGTGGGCCTGAGAGAGTGGCTGGGTATATTTTGGCACGTTAATCCTAATTGTATGTGAACCATATGTTGACTGCAAAGTGTAACCCAAAAATATCTTTTGTTATTCTTTATGATTCCAGATGAAGCTGGGTAGGACGGAGCTAAGCAGTTTAGGCCACCAAGTAAAATATGCTCAGAAGGCCCTTCTCACATTTTCTTGACTTATGGTAAAAGAAGGAAGGTAGAAAAGGAGAAAGGATATTAAACTGTAAATAAGAAGTCTGGGTTCTGCTTTTGCTGGAGTTTGACACTGTTGTTGTTGTTGTTGTGTGTCGTGAGTCGGACCTGACTCATAGCGACCCCTCCTTGGGTTTCTGAGGCAGTATCACTACGGAAGTAGATTGCTCCATCTTCCTTCTGAGGAGTGTCTGGTGGGTTTGAACCACCAGCCTTCTGATTAGCAGTCAAATGCCTTAGCCACTATGCTACCAGAGCTCCCAGTTTGACACTATGGGTCCCTTAATCTTTTTTTAGTCCTCAGTATTCTCATCAGTAATCTGTCTGTTGAGTTTACTTGAATTTCTGATGAATCTTCAGTAATCATATTGGTAGAGAGGACAAGGCAACCTGGTTACAAGCTGACTTTTAGATTCTATATCACCTCTTATGGGCTTTCACAGCATTCAGTAGTTCAGGGCCCAATGAGGACCTATCAACTACGCTGTCCACAACTGTGAAACCTCATGCCAACATGGGCATTACCTGAGATCAGCCCTTTGACTCTTCTTGATCCATCTCATTTTAGGAGGTACAGGAGCAAAAGAAAGTGATTGTAGGAGTAGGATCCAGCCCTATTGCATTTTCTGAGGCTTTGGAATCTGTTTAGAGGGCAAGGATGACAGGGGGACTTCAGGGTAGGATAAGAAGGCTGGACTGAGAAACAAACACAAAGATCTTTTCATGTGGATAGGATCAACCCAAGTGATAGGGATAAAGTGGGTGCGAGGGAAAGTAAGGGCCCACAACTCTTTCCAACTCTGGCTGCTAGAGATGAAGATGTTAGTCTCTTCTGATCTGGGGCTGGATAGGTTTAGTGCCCCAAACCCCAGTACAGAAAACTCTTAGGTACTATTGCTATCCTTATAAGAAAACCCAAGAGAGTATCTGATTTATGCACTCACTCCTTTGTTCTTTATTGCCTTTCCTCCTTGCCCTCACAAACCAGTCTCATGAGTAATAGATTCTCAATAGTTTGAGCTACTAGTCATTAGCACTCTGGCCAGATCAAAGTTTTATTTGCGATAGTTGTTATATGTATAGCAGAACAGGTCCCGAAACTGTGTTATTAAATCTTCCCATTCTCACTCAGTGACCTGTAGGTTTGGGTCTTGGGTGTTTGTGCTGGTTTTCAGGGAGCACCGTGAGCTTAGTTGTCCTGATAAACAGTGATTATGCCATTAAGAGAGATCTCAGAGTTGAGGAGGGAATATGCATTGAAATAATAATTTTATGTAAACACTTATTGACTACAGCTGGCTTTATGGACATATCTAGGTAACACAGACACAGACACACACACACACGCATGCACACACAGAGAGTGAAATGTTAGATACATTCACTCATATGTCCAAACACTTGATTGTTCAAACATTTAGGTTGCCACATTCTCTGGATGCTGTACCCACTCATTCAGAAAGTACATATGTTCACTCAGTTGTCAGAGAAGCCCATGTGCTACAGAACCTCATTCAGACACTGTGCACCTTCAAATGTGGCATACACTCCCAGAGAGATTGCCCATATTCACTCACATGTCACTCACGTGCACTCAGGGCTGTCAAGTTCATATTCAGATGTGCACATTGGACAGCCAGCATACTCACTGAGCTATTGTTAGCTAACTCAGATATTGTACTTATTCAGGCATGACATATACTCACACCCCCATTCCTTTCTCACTTGCATGGCTGACCATCACCATACTCAATGAGATTCAGGGGTACTTGCTATACTGTGTCATATTTCCTTGGGACAGTCCCTCCATTGCCTTCTTTCTCTAATGAAATAGTCCTCCTGTGCCTCTAAGTTCACTGAAGTTGAGCTTCTTTATCATATGTCTTTAGACAGCCAGTCTAGTTGAAGTGTGATAGCCCTTCCCATGTGCTAGTCCACTCTGCCCTCTTTAAATGACTGATTTAGGGCTGTAGTTGCAACTACATCTTTAACCCACAAGTCTCTTGTGGGCACTTTAGGCAATGCTCTCACATGTCTTTTGTCTTGGTCATGAGTCTGAGATCTGTGCAGTGAAAGACTTCCAAAAGAAGACCATTTATTCAAAAGAAGTAGAAAATGTGGGCATTCAAAGAGATGGAAAAGTGTTATTCAAATGTATAGACTTTAGAATACGTTTTACAAAAGGAACCTAAACTTTGGCACATATTTGGTATTCAATAAAAGTTCAGTCATCTCTTTTCATATGCTAGCACCTTCATACATCCATCAAGGTTAAAGAGAACAGTATGAGGTCACTGGACAGGAGCTGAGGGGAATCATTGTTTATCTCGATTAGGAGTTCTGCATCCAATCAAGTTGGTTTCATGCTTGCTTTCAATTTTGATTCAATTAATTTTGATTCATTTCAACAAGAATTCACTTACTGGGTGTAAGTCATTCTGCCAGGCGGGGAGGGGTGGGGAGAGGGAAGGTGCAGAAATGACTAAGCCACCACTTCTACTTTCCAAAAGGAAAAAATAATGACAGTAGTCCACATTTATGGTACAGCAATCTCAAGCAGCTGACAATTAGTGAACTGTAGGGGAAATGAGAAAAGGAGCTCTGGTGGCATAGTGGATAAGGCACTTGGCTGCTAACTAGAAGGTCAACAATTCAAACCCACCAGCCACTCTGTGGAAAGATAGGGCAATTTACTTCCATAAAGATTTATAGCCTTGGAAACCCAATGGGGGTAGCTATGAGTCAGAATTGACTAATGACAATGAGTGTGGGTTTTTTCGTTTGTTTGTTTGTTTCTGGAGGGGAAATGAGAAGGGGAAAACTCATCCAAATTGGGAGTTTCATAGAGGAAGTAAAATATAAGTTTAGCATTTAGGGAAAGGCAGAGGTAGGCAGAATGGGTAGCACTGTAGGTAGAGGAAGCATGAACCAGAGATAGAATGGGATAAGAACTAAAGCACGTTAGTGCAATACCATTGGATCTGGAGCAACTAAAATATGGGGTGCATCATGAGAAGATCTTCTGAGAGGTAAATGGGACAAAGGACTTACAATGCCAGTTTAAGTGGATTAGAATACATCCTATGGACTATGGAGAGCACATGAAAATGTTTGAAAAGGAATAAGGATATATATATTTAGGAAGATAAATGGATTGATGATTAATGGGGTAAAATATATAAGAGACAAAGAGAACAGTTGAATTCAGAAAAGAGTGGGGAAGTTCCCAACCTAGGCATTATTCAGTAGAAGAGAAAAAAGGAAGAGTAGGTGCTGAGGTCAAGTCAGTAGGGCTTGTTAATTAAAGGTATAGAGTGAGAGCTAAGGAGTTGGGAAGTTGAGGATGATCTCTAGAGCCAGAATCTGGCTATTTAGATGGTGATATAGTTCACTAAGGAAAGAAATGGAGATGTAGATACAATTAGCTTTGTAGGGTTGGGGCTTGACTAAGATTTGGACATAGCCAGTGTGAACTGACTTTGAGACGTCTAGGGGGAGATGGAGTTCTTGAAATCAGTGGGTTTGTAAATCTGAAGCTCAGGAGGAATGTTTAGTTGTGGAAAGATGTGATGATGAGGTTTCCATATGGGAGAAGTTGTGTTGACATCATGGGAGTTAATGAGCTCGTCACCTTCATATAGTTGCTCATCGGCCTCTTCTCTTTCCCTTCCAGTGTTTATCAGCTAGTTGTCAAGGAAGAGCGACTTCAAAAATCACGGAGGGCAGCGGACATCATTGAGTGCTTCTCGGTACCCGTGAGCTACAGAAACGCCTCCAACCTGGATTCTCTACACTACTTTGCTGCTGAATTAAAGCCTGCCAACCTGCCTGTCACCCAGCCATTTACAGTAGGTGACAACAAGACATACAATGGCTACTGGAACCCTCCACTCTCCCCCCTCAAAAGCTACAGCATCTATTTCCAGGCACTCAGCAAAGCAAACGGAGTAAGTATGGCCACATGAAAGCCTTCCTCGCTCTGTTTTCATTTTCCCATTCTCAAATGAAATGGCAGTATGGCTTCAGAGCAGAGGTCAACAAACTAAGAGACATGGGTCAAATCCAATTCCATGTCTGTTTTTGTTAATAAACATTTCTTGGAACATAGTCACTCCTATTAATTTATATACTGTATATGGCTGCTTTCATGCTACAACAGCAGAGTTGAGTTGTTGCAACAGAAACCGTGTGGTCCACAAAGCCAAAACTATTAACTATCTGGCCCTTCATATAAAAAGTTTGGTGATCCCTGCTTTAGCAGATCTTGTGACCTGAATCTTAGTTTCCTTATCTGTAATGCCTACCAATTTGATGTCTATGCACTAAGCATGTTTTAGTTGATCAGTGAACACTGACTCCTTTATCATTACCATTAGTCATATTAGAAAATATTGATTCTCTTACAGACAGGGTAACTGTCTTGGTATCAAATATTTCTTTGACCAAGAAGTAGTGCCAGTTATACATCAAAATCCCAGAGTTGGAAAGAATATTAAAGGTCATCCAATCACTGCCTCTACATATGCACATATAACAATGCTTCAATCAGCATTGAAATATCACAACTAACTAATGTAAGTGCTTATTCTCAAATATCTCCAGTGGCAGGAAATCATTTCCAGGTCAACTTTGATGACTTTTGGTGACCTGTGACTTTAAGAAACTTTTTTTTTTTGGTTGTTGTACCGAGTTTAAAAATCTCTGTTCTTGTAACTTGCACCTATTGTTCTCAGTCTATACCCTTAGTATCTCATGGAACCCATGTGATCTTTAGTTACATAAACATCATTATCTTTTCTAACACTTCCTTCTATACACGCATACTCATCTAGTCTTTTCTGAAGACAACACTTCTTTAGTTCCTCTAATGACACAAATATCTATTCATCATCTTGGATGATCTTTTGTAGACATGTCTGTCTCATTCCACTAACATAAACACTGACATATGTTATGTGTATAGTGTGTATTAAGTACATGCCCTCCAAGAATTATAGAAATGTAAGGGATTCATGTCATGTTCCACAGTTTATCTGGAGAAGTGAGAAGCTTTCTGGAGAAGAGGTGAGTGAGACAAAAGGCAGGTTTGGTGAAGTATGTGAGAAACAGACTGTGCAGGTGCTGGATAGGTAGATGACCTAGGTAGTTCCATCTGTCAGTGACAGCCATTGCCTTGGTGAAACCTGGATGAAGAACTAATTTACATACAGAATGTCCACATGCCCATTTAAATTCCACATTGGTATTTTGATTCTGCATTTATTACTGGCTCAAGCAACACTCCTTACAGAGAGCATAAAACTACAAAGAGAAGCTGCCAGGCTGCCTTCCACCTGGGCATATGGTCTTCTCTCAGCACGAAACACTCTGATATATTGAGGAGGAAGACATAAAGATGGGCAGACGGGGGCCCATCTTGCTCTTGGTTCTCCTCATTCCATGTCAGACAGTTCATTCGTTTGGCACAACTCACTAAGAAGATGTGCCTTTCCCTACTCTTTGTAACACATCAAGTGATGCTGTTGGATTTCGTGTCTGTGATGGAGAAGAAGTAGCTGCACTCAAGTTTATCCTCCACCATATTCTCAATGAGATACTCATAAAACCTTGCAAAAGAGTAAATGTATAAACCGAAAACCTGGCAAACTGACCCAAAGGGGAATTTCCCCCACCTCAGGCATTTGACTGCTAACCAGAAGTCTGGTGGTTCAAAACCACCAGACATTCTTCTAGAGGAGGTTTGGCAATCTACTTCTGTAGAGATACCACCTTGGAAACCCAAGGAGGGGTCACTATGAGTTGGAAAAATGACTCAACAGCAGTGACTTTGGTTTTTTTTAGCACAGTTGATCCCTGAGTAGAACAGCAAGTGAGGGAGGAGGATGGTTGGAGGTTTTGCCCCCTAACATGACACTGTGGACCCCCTTCTCAAGACACAGGGCTTTGTCATTGAGAAGAGAAGTCATCCAACTCTGACACTGCTTCTTCTCAGAATCTGTTTCTGCTGATACTTTTTTTTTTTTTTTTAACTTTTGCGAATTGAGTGAAAGTTTACAGAGCAAATTGGTTTCCATTCATACACATTTTGTTTCACAACATTGATTGCAGTCCCCATAATGTAACACACTCTTCACACTTCCTCCCTGTGTTTATCATTTCCATCCTCCCTTCCTATTCCTTCCTGCCTTCTGAGCTTTATCTTTCAGCAAATGCTGCCCTTTTGATCTTGGATAGTTGATGGTTCTGTAGAGTATGTACACCTGTAGAGTGTTCACCTTGTAGGCCTGTCTATTGTTTGGATACAATTTGGGCTAACAGGGATGAGTTCAGTTCCAGGTTTAGGGAAACTTCCGAGTTCTACCAGTAACAGGTCAGTAAACCTGGTCTTCTTTTTGTGATTTTGAGTTTCATTCCAGATTTTTGTCCCACTCTAGCCAGGACCTTCTATTGTGATTATTTTCAAGGCAGTCAGCAGTGGTAGCCAGGCGCCATTCAGTTCTTCTGGTCTTAGGGTCAAGGAGACTGAGGTTCACATGGTCTATTAGTTCTTTGGACTAATTTTTTCCATGTGTCTTTGATTTTCTTCATCTTTTTTTGCTATGGATGGGAGAGACCAGTAGTTGCACCTTAGAAAGCCACTCAATAGCTTTAAGCTCACTCACTTCTCAGCACAGTAGAAAGTAGAGCTGTCTTTGTGAACTATGTTATGCAATTGATTTAACTGTCTCTAAAGACTGTAGTCCTAAACCCCCACACCCACTGACGAATGACCTCAAGGTGTTTGGTTATCGCTAAGAAGTTTTCATAATTTTGTCCCCTGATAGCTCTACTATGTACATGGATATATTTACAGCACATACAAATGCATATGTAGAAATACCCTTTGCCAAACTTATACATGGTTGTGGATGTAGTCCTGTCCACCTACCCATATCTGTTCAGCTTGCCTGTCTGCCTGTGTATCCACTTGTGAATTGTTATTGTTGACATTGCAGGATTGTGTAAGTAATAATATGTACCTTTGCTGCCTGTAAATATTGTGCAACTTCCGTGTCTTCCTTTGCCTTAGTGACATTGTGCTGATCAACCCCATATTATATATTACCTAGTTCCTTCACCCAAATTATTACATGCATATTATCTAGTTAAGGAGCTCTGGTGGCATAGTGCCTAAGGCATTTGACTGCTAAACAGAAAGATGGCAGTTCAAACTCACCAGCTGCTCTGCAGAAGGAAAATGGGGCAATCTACTTCTCTAAAGATTTACCACCTCAGAAACCCAGTGGAGGTCTCTGAGTCGGAATTGACTCGATGGCAGTGGGTTTGGATTGGTTTGGTTTATTATCTAGTTGGTAATTTTCCCTTTTCTCCTCTTCCATCCCAAAATCAAAACCAAACCCACTGCCATCGAGTCAATTCTGACTCATAGTGACCCCCAATGGGTCTCTGAGGTGGTAAATCTTTATGGAAGTAGATTGCCCAATCTTCCTTCCATGAAACGGCTGGTGAGTCTGAACCACCAACCTTCTGGTTAGCAGTCAGATGCCTTAGGCACTGTGCTACCAGAGTTCCTTCTCTCATCCTTAGTAAACATCAACAAATGTTTCTTTCTCTGTGAAAACCTTCCTTTGACTTTTTGTAATAGACTCATACAGTATTTTTTTTTCTTTTGTGATTGAATTATTTCACTCAGCAAAATGTCCTCCAGGTTCATACACATTATGATGTGTTTCATAGATTGTTCATTATTCTTTAATGTTGCATAGTATTCTATTGTGTGTATGTACCGTAGTTCCTTTATCCGTTCATCCACTAATGGCCGCTTGGGTTGTTTCCATTTCTTTGGTGTTGTGAATAATGCTGCAGTGAAAGTGGGAGTGCATATATCTATTCTTGTTGTGACTCTTATTTCCTAGTAGTAGGATTTCTAGGTCAAATGGTACTTCTATTTTGAACTTTTTAAGGAAGTGCTATACCATTTTTCAAAGTGCTTGTATCATTTTACAATCCCACCATCAGTGTATTAGAGCTTCAATCACTCCACCTCCTTGCCAGCATTTGTTGTTTTCTGTCTTGTTGAACTTTGCTATTATTATTGCTGGAGTGAGATAATATCTCATTGTTATTTTAATTTGCAACTCTCTGATGGCTAATGAAGGAGCTTTCATGGTTAAAGCATTCAGCTGCTAACCAAAAGGTCAGCAGTTCAAGCCCACCATCTGCTATGGGAGTAAGATGAGGCAGTCTGTTTCCAGAAAGATTTAAAGCCTTGGAAACCTTATGGGGCAATTCTACTCTGTCCTAGAGTGTCTCTATAAGTCAGAATTGACTCAATCACAGTGGGTCTTTTTTGTTTGTTTGCTTGTTTGTAATGGTTAATGATGATGAGCATTTATTCCTGTGTTTTTTGGCTGCCTGAATGTTTTCTTTGATGACATGTCTGTTCATGTCCTCTGCCAATTTTTTAACTTGGTTGTCTTTTTGTTGTTGAAGTTTTTAAGTTTTCTATAAATTTTAGAGATTATTCCTTTGTCAGATATGTCATTGCTAAACATATTTTCCCAAATGTAGATTCTCTTTGTACTCCTTTGGAGAAGTCTTCTCCCCCCACCTCCTTTTTTTTCTTGTGATTTGGGTGAA